ATGAACTCAGGCGAACTGACAGCCTTGGCTGGGCCTAGGACAAAATAGTTAGAAATAGTCCCGACCAAAGACATTCACCATCCCACCCAACAACATATCCCCTACAAAAAAGCAGAATTTGTAAGTTCCATGATGTTTAGATCTACAAGTGTTTTAAGTTTTTCTTAAAAGACTCCAAAAGGGTGTTATTTATGCAAGATTTTGTGTTTTTGTGCTTTTCTATTTATAATATGCTGTTTTTGTTTTGTTTTTTTCTTTCCGTCAAGGTTCTTCTCTAAATCAGACCAGATGTGGTGTCTGCCACTAGTGCCGTGGATTCACATAGAATTTCTATGCATCTGCATGTGGAAGATCAGGCAGTGAATCCCAAGCAGTGAATCCCATGTGGTGAAGGTGTTCACTGCTCCGCTCTCACCTCATGCTACTGTATAGACCTTAGGTGTTGTCCAACAGCAGCACCGCATGGAGAGAGCAGTGATCGCTAATGTAGGAAAGAGCTGAACTTTTCTGTGAAATCGAAACACGGCAACCAATCAGGAACTGGTTAACAAAGGTAGAAAAAAGGAACGCTCTCAAGAGGTTTTTAGGTGGCTTTAAAAAAAGCTGTTTTAATTGAGTCCTAGAAGGACAGCTCATCATCCTCCCTTACCTCCAGCACATTACCCATTCTATTACTGTCCACGACCCAGCATCAGTGATTTCTGCAGGGGTAGATATACAAGGAAGTCCTGCTGAATTTGACCTGCATCCAGACGCAGGTCTAGATGAAAGCAGCAACATCAGAGATGTGCAAAATGACAGCAGTATGTTGTTCAACTGACAAAGGCATTGACATTGAATAGGTTATATTCAATGCCAGCACAGGAACCACATGTTACGCAATAACTTAATATTAGGAAATGTGCACAGCACAAACGTCTGCTGGGATGGCAACGTTATGGCCGTAATTAAAGTTAATTCTATCTTCAAAACCAAATCAGCACTAGTACCCAAATTTGTGTTTCGGTAGTAGCAGTGGCGGCTGCTGGAGTTTTCTCCAGCGGTCTTTAACTTCAAAATAAACATATACCAAAAACCAAATGTATACTAAGGTATCACACCAGTATATTTACATGAATGCCAACAACAAAAAAGAGCATATGAAAAAATCATACTTAAATTATAACTGTCTTAATCGCTGTCGTGTCAGATCCTGATGTTTCAAAAATGAGGCCTCGCTTCATGCAGCTAGCCACACCTTGTTGCTAGATAACTATATAAACCTGTCAATCAGTAGCACTTTATAACAGACGACTGTGATGTCAACTCTGCGGAAGTAGGTGGTGTACAATAAACTTGCCTCAGCTCTGGGCCCTAGGATGGTCCTATCTTTTGCACTGAAGAGGAGCTACAGCACATGTAGAACTTTTAACAAGAGTCAATGGCCAAAGATTTTTGTGCCCCAGGGCAGAAATACGTCACCAATCTGACAATCAACGAAACATCTTTACTTGTCATTAAATATTAAATATTTTATGCACATCTAAAAATATATTAATATATTTCTAACTATTAAATTTTTTTTTTTCTGTCTTAATTAAGTTTATTGGGTGAGTGGGACGGCGATCTTGATCCCTCTATTGGCCAGCGTCACTCGGCAGTAGTCTCTTTTCAATGAAATGCTCTAGGCCAGAGGTCACGGATTAGTGGACTGCGGTTCGGATCCGGACTCACCTACTGCATGTTGTCCGATGACAGTGTCTAACTTCACTTGTGCTGCTTCTCCTGTTAATATGGTAAAGCCTTCCGGAGCACCTGGGACCAGGCTACACATGATACAAATTAGTCAATGAGCTGTGTCAGTCTGGGTCACTGCGGCAAACCACTTTTAGACACAGCAGGCAAACCTTTGGCAAACCGGGCGATGAGAAAGAAGGAGGATATGATGAGAAAAAGAAAGAAGATAAAGTGTGGACTGCTGGAAGAACTGCAGTGAACTGTTGAAAGGAAAGTGAAATGGTGTGCTCAAAGATGAACCTGCATATTTTGAGTATGTTTGGCTCAATCTGCTGCTGTGAAGCAGGATTCTCCACCATGAACATAATAAAAAAGAAATATCAATGAAGGATCACGAATGAGCACCTTGATATGTGCTTAAGAATGACTTTGTCGCCATTCAAACCCAGGTTTAAAGACTTGCAGGGCAGCCTAAAGCCATGCTCTCATTAAGCCATAAAAAAAAAAAAAAAAAAACGGTCAGTTCAGGTGTTTTATAAAATATGTGAATCAGGGAATTGTTTATATACCAAAATGAACAATTGTTGTTCTCTACTTCAAAAAAGACTTATTTTTTATTATTATTATTTTTTTAAATAATTTTTTATTTAAAAATTCAATGTATAACATGGATGCATAAAAACCTCTGTTTATTTTAGCGTTCAATTCTGTTTAAAGTAACAGAATATAAATTAAAAATGTCTCAAATGGTAATGCAATTATTTAAAAACAATTTAAAGGGCATGGCACACAATTTCTTAATTAAAAAATGTATTTATTTTCTATAACTCTGTTGTTTTAGGTGGCTGCATATGGAGTAGTTCTGCTTGTTCTGTTATCATTTTTAAAATAATTTAATTTCCTTAGTTTGCAGAGTAAGGTTTCTTTTATATGAGTTAAATTTTTTTTTCTTTAATTGTTTTACCTCTGGTGTTGGATGCCGTTCATCTGTGAGGAGTTTTTCCAAAATTTTATGATTTTTGGACATTTGTTAATATACCATAGCAACAGTACCATTTTTCTTTACACCTAGGAGCAGCTCATTAACAACTCAAAGGATGTAAAAATATTTTAACTACATTCACACATCCAAAATGCATTGAAAAAGAGGCACTAAAGGTGCAGAGCTGAAGCAAAGAGATGAGAGTGGTGGAGCGGTGGAGGAAATCAATCTTCATTGCATTTAGCGCATTCATCCATATTTACTTTGTCAGAAACTCCAGAAGACTCAGTTGGAAGCAACAGCAATCCCCTCAATCAAAGACTACCTGACAAACACCACAGATTGTGAGACTGAAGGGTCAAGTGTCTAATCAGGTAGTTACAGTAGTAGCCATTCAAAATTTCCCCACTTTCCTTGATGGGCACTTGTCTGATCCCCCTCAATTCCCTTTTAAACATCAATCTTTGATCTTCTAAAAAGAAGCTTTATCTCCTGATCAGACCCTGTATTTCAGTGAAAGGTCAGAGTCAGAGTAAAAAAAAAAAATGCATGCTCAGGAGAAGGCCAGTGGCTGGAAGTTGGAGGGGATTTTGCTGGGAGTTGCAGGGAAGGCTGCCATTCGGCTGGCGTTTGACTAGGACGGGCCATTTTGAATGGCTGCTATGGTAGCAGCACAGGGGCACCACAGAGGAAAGTTCTCTCACCATTCCTTTTTACGCTGTACATCTCTGACTTTGAGAGAAAGACAGAGTCCTGTCCTGTCTGCACAAACACTGACATGACTTGCAGTTTGATGGGTGCATCAGAGTTGGACAAGAAGCTGATTATAGGGAGCTAGTGAACCACTATGTAAAATGGTGTGTAAAAAAATTATCTGATCATAAAAGTGAGCAAAGGTGATGATTCTAGATGTTATAAAAAAAAAGGAGAACAAGTTTAATCATATTAACATAATAGGAGAAGAACTGGAGCCGCTAGAGGAATATAAATACCTTTGCCTTAACCTGGACAGCAAACTTGATTTGATATGCAACTGTGAAGCCATCTACATGAAAATACTAAAAGAATACGTTCTAGGACTTCCCTTTGAACCTCTCGACATGAATAATCCTCCATAATATGAGAAAAACTTTAGACTACTCTGAGCATGCTCTTTAGAAGACTGTTAAATGAGAACAGTTTGTTTTCTCCAGGACTGCTGCAAGACAGACCCTATGAGTAACCACAACCTTTCATTTCCCTTTGGGACCAACTCTTTAGAAGTGAATTACAATTGAGGTAGTAAAGTAATGTTTTAATTTAAATAAAACTAGATATTTTCCTGTCTGCCTGCCCACCTGCAAAAAAATTTAGGTGCATTATAAATCAAAGATCAATTAAATCTCTCCCAAAGGCAGCTATTATGCGTTTTATATACCAGGCATTTTAGTGTCAATTCCAATCAATTGTCCCCAAGATATTAATCATTCAAAAAAGGCATTTTTGCAATAAAGGGAATTGTTTTGTTTTTGCCAAATTGTCAAAGACAGATACTGTGGTTTTACAGACATACACCAGTCAGATAATGGTATCAGCTATTATATTTTTAGTAGCAAAACGGTGATACTGTGACAAGAAAGCCAGAACTGAATAAAAGCACAACATGATAACAAGACTGAAAAAAACTCACAAAAAAATTAGTGGAATGAAACCGATAGACTGTAGAACAAGTTAAAGATAAAAACCAATGTGAGATATGGTTGGAGCGTATTTTTTCATGTGAATTGCATTCATGCATAGATGGGCCTTCATCATCCTGCTATATCGGGCTTTTTATTACAGACAGCATGCAACTTATCATACTGTGCCAGATCTTCAGGAGGCTGCCAGTTTAAGGAGAACTGCCACAGGATAAGTCTCAATCCTCCGCTCACTCACACTTATCACTGTTCATGCCTCGAAATGCAAGGACAATACCCACATCTGTGCAAGCAGGGATGCAGTAAACCAACAACTCAGATAATGGACTCTTAAAGCTTCTTAAATAAGTAGCAAGAGAAAACTTATTTCTGAATCTAACCTTTTAAGGATAAAAAAAATAATAATTCTACAGATATGTATTTAGACTGCCAGTATTTTTTGTAAAAAATGTGCTGTTTTAAAAGCTGTTAAGGATTAAAAGAAAGATGATACAGGACCGAAATAAGGTTAAGGTGAATATATTTTGGAACTTGAACTTGTCAATATAGGTAAAAACACATAAATAAAAATCACACAGCAAATCTTTGTGGTGGTGTCATGTGGGTATGTGAACATAAATTACCGGAAGGTCATTTGGAATATCTGTCCCAAGTTGACTTGCTGCGTTTTGTTGTTGTATCCATGCAGCATCTCACCAAAGAGAGTGTCATTGAAGTGGACATCCTGCCTCGGGCATTTTGGTCCCTCACAGTTCTCTGACTGCAGGAGGCAGGAGCGCCCATCTCCTGCCAGCTTGTACTCCTGCACGCACCTGTGGATGAGGCAGAAGCTGTCAGCACAAAGCAAGATATCTGAACATACACACACAAAAGGTGAAAGGTCTTGTTCTGTACTTTTTCTTTTTTAACCACTTTCAGGAGATGCAAATAAAAAAAGTACATTGGAGAATGTGAACATATCCAAGTCTGCCTCTATTTTGGCCCCAGAAATAGAGATGCTTTAGAACAAACTGTTTCTTGGATTAATTATAACATGCTGATGAGGCAATCTACTAAAATAGGGTGGTTTGTATGTCATTACAAACCATAAATAACCTATTTAATAAATTACAATAAAAAATGTTGCATTGTACCAGTTAACAACTACATGTTTCATTATGAGATACAACGCAATCTTCCACTGATTCATTAATAATATGATTGAAATGTACCCTATTTATTAAATTTGTGTTGTTCTAAAATCAACATATTTCGACCAGTCGTGAGATATCCACATACCCGGATGCCTCCACTCCAATACAATCTTGTATATGTTCATATTTTCATATTTTCTTTTAAATGTAACAACAACCACCCGTTTCAAATACATTGATTTCATTATCTCTTTATATAAAGATTTTCTGTGAGTATTTTAATATTGCATTTGGTCTCTTCCTCTTAGGCTATGTCAGAGAGGACTAGTTTACTGTAAATAATATAACCCTAATCCAGCATCTTCACAACAGCCTTTACTTTTTTCTTGGTTTAATATTTACAGTTTCCACTAAATATTAATCTCTGGGACAAAAGCCCCATTTACACCACTACCCATTTACATTAAACCGATCTGTGCCGAGTTCGGACCGAGCTTGGATCAGTTAACCATCCCGTGCTCGGTTCCTTACGACCGTTTACACATCATGCTAGCACAGTTCCTTGCCTCCAAGTGACTATCTAAGGTACTACTTCTCTCTAGGATATAAGGAGGGAATCAAGCAAATCAAGTGCCGCCCGTAACATTCAGGGAAATTTTGTTATAATTGTGATATTTCGTTGTTTGCGGAGAGTCAGGCGAAGAAGGCAGCCTTTGGTGAATTTACTCGACAGAGTCGGCTTTTGGGAATTGGATACGACAGATGATAACCTAATCAGGGCTCATAGATGCAGGAAACAAGGACAGACGTTGAGGTTTCATCACACTGCTAAGCAGGATCATCACTGGAAATTGTGGGGCACCGTAGGGAAGCTAGTATTTTTTATGAATGTCTGAGATGACGCAGTCTGCTCATGTGCTGTTTGTTCACTGAGAACGGAGCCAACTGAACCGCGCCAAGCCCTACAGATGAACTAGTACTAGTTTAGCATGGTTCGGTTGTGTGTGTCATTTTCACTTAACACTTATCTTGGTTACCGTGCTTTGAACGATTTCGGCTCGGTTTTAAAAGCGTAGTGTAAATGGGGCCAATGTTTCTTGAGCAGTGCATTAGCTTGATCTGCTGTTTATACTTGGGTATTCTTGGAACAAATGAATATTATGCTTTCAGGGATCTAAAGGTTCTGATGGTCGACCATTATGCCACTAAAATATGGATTTATTCTTTAAACTTTACACTTACTGTCTGTCTTTCTTAAATCCACAGGTGTGCCTTTTTTAAACTTAAATGTTATGAGTGGACCTGTATAAGATTACAAAAATGTGACATTCACACATCTATAAATATGTTGGTGCCATTGTTTAATGAAATAAAACCCACAATGATCACATAAATATCTTGAATCTCACAAAACTATAAATAATCATAATGTCATGCTTCAACAGAATTATTTTAAAAGATTTAAAATCATGAAACTGGATGGTACCCATAGAAAGAATGAAAATGATGTGATTAAAGGGACATGTTTAATAAAGGTGTGTCCATTTATTAGTATCACAGGTGTGTACACTCTTAAAAACATTGACTACAAGTAGTCAATGGGCTCTTTGGTTACTTGGTGCGTACCAAACTCAACATTAACCAGAGGTAGAGAATGACAGAGTTGTTTCAAGAGATTAAAAAGAAAACAATTGCAAAAGCAGGTTAAAGGTAAAGGCAATAAGACCATCTTCAATCAGCTCTATATTTCTGTGACTACAGTTATACACACTTTTCAGAAATTTAAGATCCATGGCACTGTGGCCAACTTCCCGTGACATGGCCAGAGAAGGAAACTTGATGATAAATCAAAGAGACAGATAATATGAATGGTAGCAAAAGAGCCCATAAAAAAAGTTATTCAGATATCAAAGGTGAACTTTAAGCTCAAGGAACATCAGAGTCAGACTGCACCATCTGTCACTGTTTGAGCCAAGGGGGACTCAATAGGAGACAACCAAGGAGCACACCATTGTTGAAAACAAATCATAAAAAGTGAGATTGAATTATGCCAAACTACATGTTGACAAGCAACAAAGCTTCTGGGAGAATGTCCTATGGACAGATGTGACAAAATTTGAACTTTTTGCCAAGAGATATCTGCTCTATGCTGACAGAAGATAAACATAGGGACTTTGTTATGCTCTGGGGCTGCTCAGCTTCATCTGGCACAGGGTTTCTTGAATATCTACAGAGTACAAACAAATCTCTAGGGATTCTGGTGAGAAATGTGCTGCCCAGTGTCAGAGAGCTTTTTCTCATGTCATGGTCTTTCAACGAAATAAAAGCTAAACACTTGCTGACAGGAGCAAAGCCTCATTGATAGTTGAAAGAATCATTTGATTGTAGTGAATGCCTCAAAAGATTGTGAAAAAAAAATATAGATGAAGGATACCATAATTTTTCATGAGTGAACATTGTGGGTTTTTCTCTCATGAAACTACCAACAATTTGATTAATGTGTGTATTTTAGACAATATTTTGTCATTATAGTGTATTTGAAGTTGGAAGAAAAATAATGTAAATTTCAAGATCTTTGAAATGAAAATAATTTTGAAAACTATCTTACCCTTAAATAGTTTGATTAAATAAGAAATGACAAAAAACAAAATATTTTGCTATTAAGATGAAGGGCAGTTGCAATAAAAGAAACATTGTCTACAAGCCACATACAATGGAGTTTTTGCAGATTGTTTTCATATTTACACTTCTAAATGGGTACCAGACTGAGGAACAAATTTTAATTAAATTTTGCCATTAAAACCTAATTAACAAATAAGCAATATTCCCTGTCCGCAGACACACCATTCTGATAGAGCTATGTGGAAAAAAATCATTCAGTAATTTAATTTGATAACCTCTATCTTATCATTGGATAAGAGTTAAAAAGCAGCCAGAAAAAGTTAATCAGATGTTTTCGACCAATTATTATTATAAGCTGCTTCTTCCACCTATTGAATATAAACAGATTAAATGCAGTTTGTTTCAGTACCTAATGTGTTACTAAATACTCTATGAAACCAAGACATATTGTAATGAGGCTCATAAAAGAAAGAAAAGCTGGAAAGGAATCTAAAAAAATGGTGTTGAAATTAAAGAAACATCTAAATAAGCAATTGTTTTTTCTCTACAATGTTTTTTGAGTGGGACTTTGTTTAGACCTTGTTTAGTAGTGTTCTAGTTCCTGTCCATAGTGTAGTGGAGGTATGCACAGACCAACCACTTATTGGGTCAACCAAGAACTTTTCTGTACAGGTGAAACACGAGGCTATTGTCTGACAGCTAAAGCTTTGATTAATCTAATCTTTCAATCATATAATTTTTGCAGTGATGCAGTCAAAGTCCAAATCTTTGCCTGACTGAAATCCTGTGGCAGAAACATAATAAACCTTAATGAATGTATTTACATCTCTATAAACGGACACATTGTAAGAATGATTGGTCCAAAATTTCTTCAGATGGGTAAGGAACTGATAAAGTCACACTAAAGACAACTGCCTTACAGTTTTGTAATTTTTTGTAACTCAAAATCTACTGAATTCTGGGGTGTACCAAGCAATTCCTACGGCTGTATTAAGGAGTATGAAAACTGCTTTTCACTAGCACTGACATTTTCTTAATAGCAGCCATTCTCACCCGCAAAACATAAGAACATTGTTGGAAGTAGGGTCATCTTCAAGTGGTACAAGCTGCTGGAGGCACAGCTGTTCACAGCCTCCATTGAAGCCATCCGTGCAGTCAATGCCTCTGGAGTAGTCATAGCAACCCGAGCCATCCTTCATTGGCCTTAGCCCCTCAGGACACTGCAGGAAAATGGATTAGGAGAAAGAAGGAGAAGAGGTGGGAGATATATGATGAGGTAGAGAAGAGGAAAGGATAGATTAGGAACAAGACAGGGAATGGAGAGGCACTGAGGTCAGATTGTGCATTTTAATCAGGACTAGAGGGCAATGACAAGGCAAAGTTGATGTGATAGGAAAACCAAAATAGAAGTTTGATGGAACTAGAATTTAAATGAAATAATCATAAATAAAACAATGTATTTTAAACAATATAAAAATGGTTGTAATTACATTACTTAAAAAAACTAAACAATTTGCTCTCATAAACACAGCTCAGTTCTCTACTTGCTTGGATAGACACTACTGGCACAGAAATCTGTGTGTTGTTTTTGTTTTTATGCACCAGGAGCAAAACTCAGAGTGTTTTCTTGTTCTCATAAAGCTGACAGAAGGAAAAACAACACAGAAAGCTTAAGTGTTTATCAGAGAGGGGATGGATATTTAGTTTGTCCCCAAACCAAGGAGTGTGACCAATGATGTGAAATTCTTGACTCTGGGAAACTGAGAGAAAATTGTGAAAAAAGTATTTCGCACATTCAGTAAACAAACACTGTTAGTTGCATTTTTATGGGTTTCCAGACAGAACTTTTACTACAACTTGCTATAAAAAAAATTAAATAAATTTGCACTAATTAATGAGTATTGAACACATTAACCATGCCAGTGATTGGTGACTGACAGATTAAAAAGCAGTAAGCAGTACCCTTTTAAATCACATCAGAGTCTAAACCCTGCATAATCTATTAAAAGAAATTAAAACAATGGGCCCATTGTTCTGACTCATATTGGCTAATTTACAGAACAGCCACTCATTCCATAAATTATGACTCTGACTTCTTTTTGTCTAAAGACAAACAAATGTCTACTCGACAAACAGACACTCAATTAAAAAACACAATTTTTGTTATTATTACTTAATTAGGATTTTCTCACCCATCTCAAATCGTACTGCACACATAAAATTGGCTGCTTGTCAGCTGATTGTCAGCTTATGTCCCAGTAAAACACTTAAAGGAGACACTATGTATTACAATGAAAAATCTCTCAACAAAGTAATGATATTGACAGTTTGAAACTATAAGGGTAAAGGACTGATGGTAAAAAATATGAAACTACATTATATTATTGTAGTGCTTTTAGTTCAGATTACTTTTAATTGCTTAATCGGCAGTACGAGTTTCTTAAATTACTTGTTCAAATACAAAGGCCACCTGAAAAACTAAATAACTGATTTTACTATGTAAATATTCTCCACAGCAAAGTCTAAACTTAACATGTTAAAAATATGTCATGCTGTTGATGCAACAAAGAACAGAGTAACAAAGAACAGTATCAACAAATTCATATGCAGGTAGTATATACATGTAAAGTCAACAAAACCATAAATAATAAACATGTACACAATATGGATAGTCTTTTAATATTTGTGGGTTTTGACTGCTGAAGCTGAATTCAACTGAACAGCTTCCAGCAACTTGGAGAAAAGGTTTAGGTTTTTGTCATTCACGACCTTCTTTAGAGCTGCAGGTGTTGCTGCTGTTTTGTCTTTCTGTAGATAATACATCTGCAGGTTTTAAATTAACTATGTTAGAGACACACTTTGAAGAGTATTGTTTACCCCACTTTCTGACAGCTACTGACTCATCTCTGATTCCTGAATTTCTTGGTGCATGTGTGGGTTTTGCTGTGAGCATATAATGACTAAAGTTAATGTTATGTGTCAGTGTTGATGTACATTTTACAAAACAAAAAAAAGAAACTGATGCAACCGTTTATAAAACTGCCAGTGGTCAATCCATTGCGGACTAGCTGAACAAATAGTTTGTACATTCTTAGGGTTTCATTTTATAATTAAAATAATGTTTAATCCAATACATTTTATGTTTAATTATTTATATTTAAATAAAATGTATATTACTATAAAATCCCTTTTGACATTTGAGTCCCATTTTTTTTATTCATGTGTACAGTCTCTTGCAAAGGTATGAAAAAGCGTTTTATCATTTTAACTACTATTAATGTTGAGACTTTAGAACAGGAAACTATTGTGTTGTGATTATATATTATATTCACACAAAGCAAAGTGTTTTGTGAAGTGCAAAAAATTGGAACATGGCATAGAATTTTGTTTTCTTTTTACATGTCTATCTGTATCAAACCCCTTTAATAATGGGAACAAAAAAAACATATCTCCAACCGAAGGTTTACATGCCAGTATACACATATTAAAACTAAAGCAGAACTCAGAGGATTTTCAGAGCAAAGAATGCCACAAAGACCCAATAATATGTGGAGTGGAAGTTTAAACCAAGTAATAATCAACACCCCCTTAGAAGACTTCATCTTTACCTTACCTTTGTGAGTAAAGCCCTACATTTTTGTAACTCAAAATAACTCAACACATAGCCATTAATGTTTAAACTGCTGTCAAAACAATGGTTACAGCCCACAGTAAAGAATTCCAAATTGTGCACTGTTAGCACTTCCACTGCCCTCTGTCATGCAACATATTCTTTTAAAAGGTCTCAGATATGAATGGTGACAATTATTTTTTGTCCAGATCCTTACATAAGTTTTTAACCATAGCCAGTCTTATCTAATTGCCAATGACCAGCATTAGAATTTTTGAGTGTGATAACACCTGCTCCCCTAACATAAAAATCATCAACAACAAATAATATCAATGTTAATAAGGCCAAGTCAAATCCCAGGCCTGATGTCTATTTTAATCTTAAAGACTTACATGGAAAGAAAAGACAATTAGAAGAATTTAAATGATACAATTACTTTAGTCTTTGGTGCTCTGATCTTGGCAGGAAACATTAGCACTGATATTTCCCCCCAGGCCTGAACCTGGTGGTGGATTGGAGATGGATGAAGTTGGTTCAGACTGCTGGCTGGCTAGACGATGTGCTTGAGCTATATGGAGAGCAGACGATGTGCTTGAGGTATATGGTCACTGCGTGAGCGCGGACCAGGAAAATGGAAGTCCAGCTTGGATAACACCAGATGCATGAACCTGTTCATGATTATCAAGCATGAAGCGACAGTGGAGAGGAAAAACTCCCCTTTGGGAAGAAACCTCTGGTAGAACCAGGCTCAACATCGTGGTCTTCTGCCTTACTGTTTAAAATAAGATAGGGAACGCAGTAAGAGTCTGGGAGGAATGACAGTCTGATGAAGCTTTAGCTACGATAATAGAGAAGGGGATGGAGGTGGGTTGAATCAGGGTCATCTGAATCGAAGTCCGACATAGCGCAACCACTGCCTGCTCTTTGGGTAGCAGACAGAAATGTGGATGTACAGACCTTTTAAGGTGAACTATGGATGTTGAGTTGCTTTAGTGGTGGTATGGTTCAAAGCTGATTGGCCTCTGTCGGAGGCGGAAATGGTTAAGTAATTATTTCTTCAATTGAACTTCTGCCTAGGCTCCATTAGACATTTATAGCTAGACTAGAAAAATTATGTTAAGAAATGTCATCTTCTCAATGTTGAGTTTCAGTATTTTGCAAAAAATAATTTGTAAAAATTTGGCTGTACAAAGTATCAATTTGGACATAGAAAAATACTCCCACGCATGCGTGGGTACCCATGCTAGGCATTGCACATCAGTATGAAAATTTGGAAAGGACTAATGGAAAGTTTGAATTTATGAGATAAGGGCAAATATCCTCCATGTTTTAGATGCGTCTCTTGCCAGTCACACCTCAGTTGAATGGCTTAACTTACTCACTAAAACACTTTTTTTTTTCTCATACTGCTGTAGATTTAGGCTGCTGGATGACATAGGAACCACTTTTCATGCTTCTGTTGCATTAAACTTCTACTCTCCAATTCTCCATTATTTGTAGTTCAACCCTTAATTTTATTTTCTCCCTACTTTTTCCTAATTAAAGCAACATCATCTACTCTTGCATGGTGTTATATTTAGATGTGACACCATAGTGAAGCAAGCCATAAGCTGGGTTGCTGCTGTAACTAACTCCCATTATTGGTGACAGAGTTAAGCCTGTTTCCAGAGCTTAGTCCTGTTTCTCTCCTAGATTTAGCTATGGGCTCAGCTTTTAATATATGTACTGTCTTCCATATCTTTTTGAAATAAAAACCAGAGATCATCTGTTTTACTGTTTCTTTCCTAGTCAGAACTATCTATGGATCAGTTTATCAGTAACTTTTCTAACATAGAAAATATTAATGGATCAATGCTACTTTGCTCATTTTGTACATTTGTCTCTGTCTCATTGAATTTCAAGTCAACCTCAGTAGTATGCTGCTTACACTGAGCCTGGTTCTGCTTGATGTTTCCTCCTATTAAAAGGGACATTTTCCTCTCCACTGTTGCTGCATGAATGCTTGGGTAAGGGATTGTTGCAGAGTAAATGGCACAATGCAAACAACTGTCTACTGTTTTCCCATGCTCATTTAGGAGGAGTAAATCCTCCAAAGTCATTGACTCAATATAATCAGCTGTAATCTTAGATAAAAAAAAAACAATCTGTCTATATAATTTAATTAAATTGTGTAAAAATGCCTTTAGGTGACATGTGTTGTGAACTGGTGCTATATGAATAAACTGAAATGAATTCAAAACAAATTACACTCTTGTGTTTTTGCGTCGTTGAATTATATTTGTCAAGCATTACTTTATCAACTCCAAATAGGCAGAACAGGGCCCGAAACTACATTTGTTCAGACTTAACTAGCAGAACACTTTAGGCTAGGAACATATAAAGAAAAGTACATTTTCAGAGGGGCACAGATGTAATCTGTTTCATTGAAGCTTAACAAATTATTTTCACAAAAGCATTAAACTTTTATCTCCAGTACCAGATGGTTAGAAATAGTGTTTGCCAAGTTCAGAGTTACAGTACCTGTTTGGGGGGCCAAGACTTTAGAAAACAAATGAATAAACTGCACCAGAGAAAGAGACATGCAAAAATGTGAATCTCTGGATGCACATT